TCATGATTGGACAAAGAGTGTCATTGTTCCCATCCCCAAACCACACTCAGATAATTATAGGCCCATATATCTAACATCGTGTGTTTGTAAAGTGCTTGAACGTATTGTTCTTAACCGACTCATGTATCGTATACAGGGGCACCTGTCACCTCAACTGTTTGGATTTATGCCTGGGCTCAGTACACAACACTGTTTTGCTGAGTACTTCGCACATATTGAAGCTTCCCTTAGCGCAGGACTAAGGATAGCGCGCAGGACTCGTAATTCTGTGGCGCGGGTTCGATTCCCGCACGAGGCAGAAACAAATGGGCAAAGTTTCTTTCACCCTGAATGCCCCTGTTACCTAGCAGTAAATAGGTACCTGGGAGTTAGTCAGCTGTCACGGGCTGCTTCCTGGGGGTGGAGGCCTGGTCGAGGACCGGGCCGCAGGGACACTGAAGCCCCGAAATCATTTCAAGATAACCTCTCAAGATAACCTTCCCCTCAAGCAGTCTTCATCGACCTAGCAGCAGTTTTTGATACAGCAAACAGGGAAATCATACTGGAACAGCTTGCCGAGCTGGGAATCCAAGGAAAACAACTGAAATGGATGAAAGGCTATTTGTCTAATCGAACAGCATATGTTTTGTTTAATGGTGTTAAAAGCACAGAGAGCAAACACTTTGAACTGGGAACTCCAGAAGGAGGGGTCCTCAGCCCCTTGTTGTTCAATGTTTTGATGCATAAACTCATTAAAGATCTACCAACTAATAATGAAGACACGGTTATTTGTTATGCTGATGATATATGTTTACAGGCTGCCTCTGAGCCTAGAAGGCAAGTTCTGCTCCGTGTTTTTGCTACTAGAGCTGAGGAATGTGGCCTCCTTATCTCTGTACAGAAAACTCGTGCCCGCATTCCATGTGGTTATTCCACCAGTCAATTATCATATAGATGGGCAAGCACTCGAAAACTGCGAGTCTTAGCTACCTTGTGTCCCCATTAACGACCCTGGGTACCTTTCTTCTTTCAAGAGGAGACTGTGGCAGAGATTATAGCCCTTGCGGGTCCTTGTTGGTGTCAATCATGGACTTAACGTAAGACTTGCTAGAATGTTATATGTATCATTTATACGCTCTGTGATTGACTACAATGCTCTACATCTCACACAGTATACAGACAAAGAGCTAAAATCTCTTGAAACCTTGCAAAATGAAGCTATGCGCCTCATCCTTGGGGCTCCAAAGTCGACGAGAATAGTTAATATGAGAGCTGAATTAAAATTACCTACCACAAGTGAGAGAATTTTGTCTATTAGCACAGTTTTCGGCGTGAAGGTATTGAGTAGATCTCGGCAACACATGAAGTTTCAAGCTAAACTTTCTAATATGCTATACTCACCTGAGGTCTGTAGAAGAAGAGCGAAATTTGATTATACATTTTGGTTCTACAAGGTAGCCAACTCCATCAAAATATTAAATATGTACCCAACTCAATTAACGATTAATCAACCAATTACTTCATGGGATAACTTGGATCTAGCAGTTGATTTTGTAAATGAACCCAAAAAAGATAGTGTACACTCTACATTATTAAAACAGTTAACACTGAAAAGCATCACTGAGAGTACTCAGGGTGTGGGTAACGATGTGTATCAGTGTTACACCGACGGTTCTGTAGAAGAAGGTGGACGATGTACCGGTTGCGCATGTAATATATTTGAACAATCTCCTCGTACATACAGCAATGAAGCGCGTCAATGACTGGGCAAGTACAACTCAAACCGAACTTGCAGGCATATACCTTGCCACGGAATTTTTAATAGACAAAAGCAGTGGACTTGTATACTGTGATTCGCAGAGTGCACTCCCTGCATTGAACGCACATAGCAATAACACCCAGAAAATAGTCAGTGATATTCGAATGAATGTTTTAGCTGCCAAAGAAAAGAGATTTGAAATTAAATTCCTATGGATACCATCAAATGTTGGTATCTCAAGGCATGACACTGTTAAGCTTGCAAAGACAGCCTGTAGAAAACCAGTGGTAGACATTGATATGCGTGTTTTATTAGCAGTGACAAAGAGAATACTTAAACAAATATCTAATGAAAATCTCACCGACCTAACAAATTCACAAAGACCTGAAACTTGTAGCATTAAATTTTATGATAGATATCGTGAGGAGACATTCCCATATGGGACTAATAGAAAAAGAACTCAGCAGTGTGATGTTATAGTAGCCAGAATACACCTGGGATATAGACGTATCTGGCAGCTTTCTCAAAACCCAAATGTCGAGTACACAATGTGTCAACTTTGTGAAAGAGAAAACATGCACTCCCTTGAACATTATATTGTAGAATGTCCCATATTGACTGACTTTCGCCCTCCTGGGCTAAGGTATGCTGTAACTACTATATGAGTACTGGAACACTTGATGATATATTGGACTTGTACCCAAGATTGACCATGTAATGTATCAATTATACAATGAATGTATGTGATGTAACTCTATAACTTGAGCTTGTAAAAGCACCTTAATCACCTTCAGTGATTAAGTGCTTAATTGCACACTAGTTTTGCTATGAGTTATCTCACCCTGTCAGAGTAAAAGAGACAAATGTGTGAATATATGTATGTATGTATGTTATATTTACGTATATGTGTGTGTGTATATGTATGTGTATAAAGTATATGTGGAAGCTGACCAGAATTCCTTTTCACCTTTGTAAATGCACGTTAATGACACTATGTAAAAGACACATCGAACACTTTATGTAGGGCATACGTAAATCTGTGTATTTATGTATTTACGTATGTAGCTTAGCCTAGCATTTTAAAAGTACTACAATCACCTTCTGTGGTTGATTGTTCAATAAATTCCTGAACTATATGTTTAACAAATCTCTATCCCTGTCCATGGAGGACAGAAGAAAATGTATATATGCTGCTTAGCATTGTTAATGTGTGGCCACGTCTGTGGTAGAAAAGAATAATAATAAAAAAAAGTGGCAACGCAAGTGAGGTGAGGTGTTGCTTCTTTACTAAGCACTGGTGTGGCCATTCCTAGCAATAACCCTCTCGAATCCTTTTCGAATCCTCATCACGGCCCTTGTGGATTTGTTCCTCTCGAAGTAAATGTATTTACTCACGACAGTTACTTGTGCAAACAAATTTTCCCAAGCATCATTATGAGCTCCTTATTGTACCTTGCATACGTCAGTGGGTTAGGTGCCGTTATTGCTGGAAGGTGTGTGAGTGTTAACATACGGGCGCAGCAGATGTTTAGTTTTGCTAACAACACATTACATAAAGACAATTATCCCCATTTCTATGTGCACATACTTTTTTTTACCTATAATTTTAATAAATTATATATTATGCACATGGCGTCAGGAAATCCTTTCTCCCTCTTATTTGCAAACTTCCTGTATCGGTCCCATACTATGGTCTTCCGCAAACATTAGCCCTTCAAAATAAAAATTTCCATGAACTTCCCTGCACCACCAGGACGAGATCAGACTCGACCTGCATCTGGCAAGATCTCACAATCTTGTGCCGTTACTTTAGAACTTTAACGTTGTTGATAACCACAGTGAGCAGCTAGCACACCTATCCTACCCCCCAGCTACACACTACATTAAAGGAATCTCGGATAATACATAGCTGCCCTTGCGTGTATGTAAATATATTACATATATCGATGTTCACAGAAACGTACATAAATTGAAGAGCAAAAACCGTTCTGTTTTTCTAGAACGACTAGCACTAGTAAAGTCTTAGAAAATTTAACCAATCCTAAATTAGCTTATTATTCCACAGCTCTGCCAAATTTAAGCAATATGTGACACATATCAATATAATAAATTTAATTATAAAATACCTTATAATCATAATATGTATCCAAATTCTAATGATATTACAGCCAAAAAGGACAAAAAAGTATGTCTAATAGGACCCGGCGAAAGTTGCTATTATCTCAAGTCGGACGCTCCTGTCTTAAGAATATATATATATATATATATATATATATATATATATATATATATATATATATATATATATATATATATATATATATATATATATATATATATATATATATATATATATATATATATATATATATGTCGTACCTAGTAGCCAGAACGCACTTCTCAGCCTACTATGCAAGGCCCGATTTGCCTAATAAGCCAAGTTTTCATGAATTAATTGTTTTTCGACTACCTAACCTACCTAACCTAACCTAACCTAACTTTTTCGGCTGGCAAATCGGGCCTTGCATAGTAGGCCGAGAAGTGCGTTCTGGCTACTAGGTACGACATATATATATATATATATATATATATATATATATAGCCAGAACGCACTTTTCAGCCTACTATATTTTCATGAATTATCTATTTTTTTCTTATGAAATGATAAAGCTACCCATTTCATTATGTATGAGGTCAATTTTTTTTATTGAAGTTAAAATTAACGTAGATATATGACCGAACCTAACCAACCCTACCTAACCTAACCTAACCTATCTTTATAGGTTAGGTTAGGTTAGGTAGCCGAAAAAGTTAGGTTAGGTTAGGTTAGGTAGGTTAGGTAGTCGAAAATACATTAATTCATGAAAACTTGGCTTATTAGGCAAATCGGGCCTTGAATTGGCTGAAAAGTGCGTTCTGGCTATAGTACGACATATATATATATATATATATCATATATATATATATATATATATATATATATATATATATACTAGGTATATATATATATATATATATATATATATATATATATATATATATATATATATATATATATATATATATATATATATATATATATATATATATATATATATATATAATATATATATATATATATCATGCATTGATGTATATTCATTATAAAATATTTCAGATTTTAGATTTCAGATTTCTTTCTGAAATTTCAGATTTCTATTTGATTAAGTTGATTTTCAATATTCATCATATAACTAAATGACTATGATTGTCAATTTTACAGTCTGAGAGAGGAGTGCGTGTGGGTCTAAATGTCGGTGAAAAGTTCAGCTTCATGGCTAACTCGACGGAGTACCCGAAGGACCAGGAGAGGAAGCTAACTATATTTGAACGAGGATATGATTACCTAATTACATCTCTACATGAACAAAAGCTAAAAATCGTGGTAAGATTATACAGTGAATTTTCAGTATGACTATGTTATTAAGCACTAAATTATTGAAAGTATCAGATCTATAACATTTCCAAAGCATTAAATTAGTCTCTTAAGATTAGTCTCTAAATAATGAGTTTATACCTCTACTAAGCATTTTTGGCTAAAACTGTGAAAAGGGTCAGCTTGTGTTTGAGGTGGAAATTCACAGCAAACAGTGTGTCGAGGTGTCCCTTAATTTGTGTGGTCGAGACTGCGCTATGAGTGGGAAAGTTCCTACTATTGAAAAGGATGATGTATGGTGAAGTATTGTGAAACATGAACTAGGTAGAGCAGCAGGTTAGAATCTTAAACACAAATTTAGGATGGGTCCTGCTGAGACTCTGGCTACCAGTGAACCCTTCCTTGGGGACATTTGTAGGAATATCCACCTAAGATACAGTAAGGCGAGACGTATGGACAAATCATCTTTCACCCATAGCTTTTGTTCAACTAGCAATGATTAGGAACCTGGGTGTTAGTCGACTGTTGTGGGTGGCATCCTGGGGAATGGACAAATGTTGCATATATCCGATGTATACTCAAATTTCCCAAACACGCCACAAGACACAGCACGAGGGTAATAGCTGGTAGGCTAAACATGAAACATGCCGCAAGGCAAAGAAATTTTGAATTTTACACGTGATGCTGCTGACTAATGATAGACCACTAATGTTGGGAATTAAGGATACTGATCATATTTGCATATTTCTGAAATGGTCTTTCATGTGAGAGTGCCTTACATGTGGTCTATTGTTGAGGACAAAAGGCAACATTGGTGAACTAGTTGACGGGCACTACTGTAGTTCGGTGTTGATCTGAATTACTTACAGATCTGTTGAGGCTGTTGATGTTTGATGTTGTTCCTTCGTGTTCAAAAAGACCGAAATAACTTGCTTATGTTGATCTCGGATTACTTATTATGGGTGTGTAGGTTGAGAAGTAGGAATGGTATATTGCTGATTCTGCAGTTTTCAGGGAAAGAATATAGTACAATTCCTGGTGCTTACGGTTGGTGCTCATGGAGAGTTTAGCAATCATTTTACGGATATGCAGGCGATGAGTCACAATAACGTGGCTGAAGTATGTACTACTATTACATTACTACTATTATCCCCTACACCTGACTTTCCTCCTCAGCTCTCTCTTGCCTATTTATTGCCTGTCCCTACCTCCTCATCACAATCGACTTGAGAATGGTCCAGGACGGACCGAAACGTCGTCGTCCCTTCAATTTCTAGTGTGTGGTCTGGTCAACATTTTACGGATAGTTTTTTAAGTTTTAGCAGTTGTTTGTTTATTTTCTTGTCTGATTTGCCTGAGGCTTGAAGTTTGAGTCTCTTTCCGTAGGTGTTTTTTCTTCCGGTTTTAGGTCTGTTGCATTAGTAATAATTTTCAGTTGCTGAAGTTATCATTTTTTTCGTCAGTGTTGTGATTGGATGTTTTGGTCAGTCTGTGATCTTTAGGGTGAGTCTCTGTGCTTTGCGGGACCTTTATTTTTATGTCTTGTTTAAACCTTTCTGTCTGTTTTATTCTTAGCCTGTGATTTGTGCTATTTTTTAATTGGAGGGTCTTGTGGTTTCCATTCTGTTTGTTTTTATACAGTTTGTACTTACAACATAAGTTGCAATTACAACGTAAGTCACACTTACAATGTAAATTGCACTTACTGTGTAAAACAAAACACGTATATTTTGTAATTATATTGTGAAATATTTTTGGTGCTAGTATTCAGGATGGTTCAATGTTGTGTGAGATCTGTGGAAGTGGTTAATATTTGGTGGTTTCCTTTATTCATTTTGTATGTGCCTCCTGTATTTGTATAAATCACCCCCCTAAAAATAGTGTGAAGTTGTGTGTTTATTTCATTCTTGTATATACCTACTGTACTTTTTGAATACTTGGTACGTACTGAATATTTGCTACGTTTTGTTATTTCTATAGTTGTTATTTTGTATTTAAATAATAACATTATAATTGAGAAAATCCGTAAGAGTCGTGATGAGGATTCAAACCTATGCACTGGGTGTTCCCAGGTACACAGTCTAGACAACATTATTTTTACTTTCAGGAGTTACTACTAATACTCTGGAATATTTCGTAATTCCAACATGTTCCGTTTGCCTTCTTATTCTTGAGTTGAGTGTCACGGTTGTATATGCTTGGTTGTGTTATCAAATATGTGTTTTATTGGTCCATTAATTTCAGTGTATCTGTAATTTGTTTCTGATATGTTTGAATTGTCCTGTACTGCACTATTTTGGTTTTACTTCAATGTGGTTGTGATGTGTAAGCAGTTATGTTGTGCATATTCATTTTGATTGAATTTTTAGAAGGTTTGTTACTGACTGTGCTTATGGTTTCTTTGTGCTTTGTTATATATCTGTAAATTTTGTGTGGCTCTCACAATGTTTGTTATGAGTTGGTTGTGAGGAGATGGTTCACCAACTCACTTACAATAGTGCTCTTATGCCTGTGGGAGCCAGTACACTTGTTAAGTGCACTTGTTAAGTGTGGGGACTTAAGTTTGGTAACCAGCAACCGAAACATCTAGTGTTTGGGCTCATGTGAGAGCCCCAGTCATCAGCAGTCCAGAAATGTTACCCTGGCCGGAGTAGCACGTCTGTGGACAGTGCTGGAGCCGATAGCATCATCTCATTGTATAGCTTTGAGCGAGACTCGAGTTTGCGCGGGAACTGCTAGGCCTGGGACGGCGTGAGTGAGCTGTGGGCTTCCCACGCTAGCCACTTGAGTCGTCGTCATGGAAACAGCTACCATCTTAGTAAACATCTTGAGCCAACATGTTGGTCGGCCATCTTTGAGTCGCCCTAGGGGCCATGCTACCCAGTTGCTGATTGGTTAAGAGGGGTAAGCCGCTGTATGCCTTCCTCTCATTGGCTATTTCGAGGAGGACGTGGGAAATCGCTGGCGTTTCTCTCTCCAGCATCATTCTGCTCCAGTCATCACCATACCTGGACGTCTCTCTCTTGCCCATTCGGCCAAATTGGACAAGACGACGTCGTGGTGACTGTCTCCTTAGCTCTTCCACTACCAACACCACCAGCTGCACAGTCAGAATCCAGCTGGAGTCATCGTCGAGGGGTAGAAATTTAGAGTGAAAAAAGTTCTGGGATAGTTCTGGGTGCATACGAGCAGTAACAGACTCGTAGATCCCATACCAGTGATTAAAGACCTATGCAGTTTATTTATTTATTTATTTTTATATATATATATATATATATATATATATATATATATATATATATATATATATATATATATATATATATATATATATATATATATATATATATATATATACAAGAAGGTACATTGGGTTTGTAAGAATACATTGGATAGTACAGTATTTACATTCTTGTAAAGCCACTATTACGCACAGCGTTTCGGGCAGGTCCTTAATCTAGCAGATAATTTTAAGTAGGTAATTTCTATCAGAATTGATAAATGATAAAGATACATTGCAAGAGAAAAATGAGATGAGAGAGCTTAGTAAGTATATTAAAGCACATTGTTATATTAAAGCTCTGATTGATTACATTGACAGCTTGATTAGTAATTTAAACATGATTAATAGACACCATACAGCAGATTGACAACACATATAAGAGAGCAATGATCACAATGGTAAAGATGTTCAGATTGGGTACATAAAGATTGGGAGACTGGGTAGCAAAAGATACAGATAAACAAGATTTATAAACACCATACAGCAGATTGGCAGCACATATAAGAAGACAGCAATGATCACAATGGTAAAGATGTTCAAATTGGGAACATAAAGGTTGGGAGATTGGGTAGCAATAGATACAGTGCAATTTTAAGGCAAAAAGTGAAAAACTATGAAGATGAAATTAGGTACTTTTTAGTATTGATTTTGAATGATGTAAAAGTTGGACAGCTTTTCAATTCAGTAGGGAGTGAGTTCCATAAACTGGGTCCCTTTATTTGCACAGAGTGTTTACACAGATTAAGTTTGACTCTGGGGATATCAAAGAGATATTTATTTCTGGTGTGGTGATAATGGGTCCTATTACATCTGTCCAGGAAGAGTTTCAGACAAGGATTTGCATTTAAGAACAGGGTTTTGTAAATGGAGTTGACACAAGAGAATTTATGGAGTGAGATTATGTTTAGCATGTTTAGGGAGTTAAACAAGGGAGCTGTGTGTTGTCTGAAAGCAGAATTTGATATTATTCTGATAGCAGATTATTGCTGGGTGATGATGGACTTGAGGTGGTTTGCAGTGGTTGAACCCCATGCACAGATACCATAGTTGAGATAGGGATAGATTAGTGCATAATATAGTGAAATGAGAGCAGAGTTAGGTACATAATATCTGATTTTGGAGAGTATACCAACTGTTTTAGAGACTTTCTTAGTTATGTGGGTACTGAAGTTGAGTCTCTTGTCTAGGAATAGGCCAAGAAACTTTCCATCATTTTTATTGCTAATGTTTACATTGTCTATCTGAAGCTGAATTGCATTTGTAGATTTGCTTCCAAATAGGATGTAGTAGGTCTTTTCTATGTTAAGTGTTAGTTTGTTGGTTGACATCCATAAGTGGACTTTTTTTAGTTCATTATTAACAACATCATTTAGTGTATGTGGGTTGGGGTTGGAGTAGATGAGAGTAGTATCATCAGTAAACAAAATAGGTTTCAGAATGTTAGAGACATTAGGCAGATCATTGATGTATATAAGGAATAGAAGAGGTCCCAAGATGCTGACCTGTGGCACTCCAACGGTTATTGGTAGAATGGGAGAGGTTATATTATTGATGGCTACACATTGGTGTCTATCACTAAGATAGGATTGGATATAGTCCAGTGCATGGCCTCGGATTCCATAATGATGGAGTTTACATAAGAGGAAATCGTGATTAACAGTATCAAAGGCCTTTCTCAGGTCAATGAAGAGTCCAATCGGAAACTCATTTTTATCAAGTGCTGAGTAAATTATATCAAGGAGACTAATAATTGCATCGTTGGTACTCTTTT